CATAGTCTCTGTAATCAAGTATGGCAAGCCATACCTTTTTGCAGATGATCTCAAGATAGTATATGATTATGGGTACGGTGATATGAGCGTCGAAAGCAAGATCCAACAAGACTTAAATGATCTAGGCGATTGGAGCGAAAAGTGGCAACTGACTTTCAACCCAGACAAGTGCGGTATAACCCACCTTGGACGCTGGAAACCGATAATGTGCCTATATATGTACGGTAAGCTCCTCTCAAAACTGAACACAGTCACAGACCTCGGGATAACATACTCAGATTTATCCTTTTCCGATCATGCAAATAAGGTTGTATCTGACTGTAAACGACTTACTGGCTTTGTACTGCGTAACTTCTACACCCAAGAAGCAAGATTAGCTATATATAGGACATGTATCCGTCCCAAACTTGAATATTGTGCTCTCCTATTTAGTAACCTCAGGACTGTAGACAGAAAAAAAATCGAAAGTGTCCAGAGATTCCTCACGAAACGCATAATAGGGTTCGACCAACAAGTGGAATATGTTGACAGGTGTGTACGTCTGAAATTAGAGCCTCTGTGGTTAAGGAGAGTGAAGTGCAACCTATTTCTACTCTTCAAAGTCATTAGGAAACACTGCTACAGTAACTCATCCATAACTTGGGAAAATATTAAATCATATCAGCTGCGAAACCACGACTACCTTGTCAAGGTGGCTACCCACAGAAAATCCATTAGGGCAAACTTTTTCACCATAAAATATTGCACTCTTTGGAACCAACTACCACCTGAAATAAGATGTTGTGAAAACCCTGATGGGTTCAAACGGAGCCTAGAAAGACACTTTAACATGTCCACCCTAGCTCGTCTAAAAGACCACAACTGTTGGTAGAACGGAAATTGAAGGCCAGTCCAGTCTTCAGTATAGTCACATACGTATATCTCGACTCTAATACTCACGCAGCGAACGTTAACTAATTTACTGATTTCTATTCTCTATAATTTTCACTAAGTTGTGTTGGTAAAAGTAACACTGGAAATAATTGTAATAGCATCCACACCTTTTAACGTTTTACATATGTATATACTAATATAATAATACTTATTAATCATGCATGTTCAACTCTTAAATTAGATGGATATTAAAATACTTAAAATATTTATGCATCAAATGTTCTCTTGCTTTACCACGCTTGTTTCCCTTATAACACTCAATTATTGAACCTAGTGTAATATTTGATATACGAACTATATTATTGATTATACTCTTATCATATATGGTTTGATTTACTCTACGGCTCCCTGTAGACTAACCACCATTCTTCAGTATACACACACTGCAGTATTGTTAAAAAACGCCAAAATTTCGTTGGTTCTGTGTTAATATCTTTTTATAATATGTCTAGACACGTTACTTTGCAATGTCAGATGTTTACTATATATAAGACTGTCATGAAAATTTAGTACACTAAGTCCTGCCAACCGACCTTACCTTCAGTCCATACTACCTAAATTGAACCTTAACTATAGTATTCTGCTAAATCTTGCTCCACTATTCACAACACCTATTCGTTTTACTCTTTAAGGTTTTAACTTCTTATAAAGTAATCTGTTCATCAGGATGCATGCACACATATATAATATGTTCGTAAAGATGTACGTGGAGACCTATTGGAAGCACTCATTAAGAAAGCTAGGGAGATGGAATATGGGGTACGAACATGTCTGGTACCAAGCAATATATTTGCGGTAGCCATAATAATCATAGTCTCAGAGCCTAACATCAAAAAAGGAGGGAGGGTGGCGCTAGCTGATCAGTAGATATGGTGGTGGTCACTAAGGTGAATCGCCCCATTCTGCAGGAACAGCAATATACAAATTAAAGGCTCGAGATATTTCTGATTTTTCTGAGGGCTTAGATCTTTATCTTGAAAAAGATAATAGTGAACGCCTTGACAGATAATGCTTCTACCTTTAAATATATACCATTCGCTCAGCCTATTGTTGAGATGCGACCACGTGGGATCTGCACAGATTTATGGGGCATCTTATAAATTAACTTGCTATCCATTGTCAGATCTTTAAATACCACTTCACAATATCTTGTCTCACTTATTTTCTAATAACGTCTTTACTTGATTCTCATTATATTCCATTAAACCTAACATTTTATAGCTCTTTATGAATTTGATTCGACTTATTCTATTCCTATTCTCTGGAGGGTACGGTTGTGCACCAAATAGAAAAAAAGACATGAAATAAAAACAACTGGCTTGAAAATAATTGTATTAAAGCCAAAAGTGGACATCATGATAGTATAAAATATATTGGTTTCATTATACATTGCAAATGAACGTTGTCGGCCTAAGGATTAATTACTTCCCCATTCTGTTTTCTATATAAATGTGTTTATTAATGATATATTTCACTCACTTAATCTATTACACTTTAATGTTTCACCTCAGCACTTTAATTTTTCTAAAACAGCTTCCAATTCCTTGTAAACGTTGTACTTACCTCAATATTGGTTGGTTATCGTATGCCTACAACCACGGGATGAAAACGAAACGAAGTCGATTTTCCCGCTCAACCTGGAGGACAACTGTACAATTCAATAACTATACGGCCTAGTTCAGACAATGTGTATTTATATATATATCAAATATTTAACTGTTGAAACATTATTAACTTGTAGACAATTTAAGATTTGACATTATATCATCCTTGATCGTGCCTGTAAAAATGGCATGCATTTTCATGTAAATTTATGTTTATATGAAAATAAATTATTATTATTATTATATAGCTTATAAGTACTGGGTATCTGCGAGCCCAGATGGAATGGATGTGGATTGACAACACTGTCAACTGAAGAGTCAGCAATCTACTCATGTATGGACACTCAGATAACAACCCCAAACACACCAAGGCACTGAGTGGCCATAACGATGTCACTAGTGACACCCAAAGTCCAAATGCAGCTGGAACCAATCTCCTCATGCAGCATCATGAAAGCAAGATTCAACTCAATGTGCAGGAACGAACGTCACAATTATCATGCAATGCTACGCACAGTGCTACAAACAACTGTGGAACAAGAAAGGTAGCAGGATTTCTACAGACAACTACAAATGGTGACATCAAAATCCTCATGGGCGGTATGAATCCCAGAAAAGCTGAGAGCAGATAATAAAGGAAGAAAACCCATCGGCGGTCGAGAGGCTCTCGGATAACGGTCATTATTCCCAGACTTCTGTGCTATCAATGAGACAGATCACCACAATTCAAGTTCAACATTCAAAAACTGAAGGACAAAGCCACAAGCGACACCTTCACTACAGATAAGATCAGAGAAATGTCGGATACAATGCGTATTATCATTGAGGTAACCTGAGTGGAAGAATATTGGAACTAACACTCTGAAGGTGATGTTCAAGGAAACGTGTACACCTGTTCTAGGAATATAGAGAACACAAGACAAGGAATGACTCTCCACGGACAGCTACCTGAAAGCTACTCAAGGAGAGTACGGCAGGGTAGGATGGTGAAAGGGAAGATGACTCAATGCAAAGATGGACAACAAAATGAGAAGTTCAGTAAAATGAACACTGCACTGAATAAAGAAGAGAAATAGAGTTGTCAGCCACTTCTCGTGAACCGTCAATGCTCAGCTCTTGCTACGCTCGGGCTCACGCTGTTCCTTGAAGTTTCTCAGAAACGCTTAGTAATAACGGTCGCAAAAACCAGAACCCAGTTTGGCTACTCGAGAATTCTTTATTGTAACACCAACATATAAAAATAATAACTGAACTAAGGTCTGTGAACAAATATTACAATAATAAATCACAATATTACTTCTGACGGTTTTCTACTGACTTCTTTCCGAACAGCGACCGATGAGACGATGACTGGTGTATTGATGCCTTCGCGAAAATATAGGGAAGTTGGATTTGAGCAAACAACCATGAATTGATCGTTCAATCTTCAACTACATTGACAACGCCAGACAAAGCTCTACCTCAACTCGATTCATGCACTTCGAAAAGCCATTCGACAGACAGCGTTGGCCGAGACGTCATTTGGAAGCTACTTCAACACTTCCCCATGCAGTCACCAGGTCTTTATCAACCTCATTCAACAGCTGACTATATGAGGGTGGAACGTATCTCTCACGTCATCCACAATGTAAAACTCAGCGAGGCATTCGAAGTGCATACAGGAGTGAGACAAGTCTGACCACGTATTACCACCGACGATATTCCTAATTGTGGTGTACTGGATTATGCATCAAACTTTCGGGTTCGAGGAGCCAGGAATACGCTAGACTACCGATAAGAAGACTCTAGAAGATTTTGTCTGAATTTCGCCTGTTAATGATATATGTCTAATATCCCAGTAACTCGAAGATTCGCAAGCGAAAACCAACAAATTGGAGGAGGAGGTAGCGAAAACGGGACTCCAGGGGAACATAGAGAAGACGGAGGTGATGAAGATAACAATCAACAGCAACAACAACCACCACCAGTCATTATTAACGAGAGAGATTTACCAGAGTTTGCTTCCTTCACTTATCTTGCAAGGAAGGAGGTATCATTTCAACTACAGGCGGATGGCACGGATGAAGATGTCAAAGCGAAGGCAAGATACTTCTTCATCAACCTGAAACCAGTTTAGAAATCTGCACTCCGACTGAACATAAAGAACAAGATTCGCGCTTTCAACACAGATGCCGAAACTTGGCATGTCTTGAAAAGGATATCCAACATGTTGCAGATTTTCATTAACATCTGCCTTCGCTGGCTCCATACTGAAAGTCATGTGGTTTCCATTTATCCGAATGATCTGAATCGAATCTTTTAAGCACTACAAAATCAGACATGTGGTAATTGCTGCTTATGACTTCAAAAAAATTGACGGTTCACCAATATTGTATATTGAATGCATTTGAAACTACTTCGGTTATCCATTTTCATCGAAAACTTGTTGATAACACGCATGGCGGAAAAATTGCAGGACATTAGATGAGCGAGTTGGGTTCTTTAATTTATGACGTCGCCGAGGAGATGTATGATCCCTAAACTACAGGATATCTATTTTGCAGTGTTCGTTACTTTAGTACTCGAAAACTTGAATTAGGATGGGATGATTCCACTTCCAAATCGGTCATAGATTCTTCGGTGCCTGTATGTTATTTTCGGACAACTCATTTGCTTCAGAAAAGGATTTTGGGGACAGTAAAGATGTATAAGTCCTTAGAAAAATTTCCGGAGACTAGGCGATTACTCTCATGTATCGAATCAGTTAGTATAATAGTTTGCTTATTCACTAATTCCATGTGAAGAGTTCTTTGCAAAGTGATAGAGTGCTCGAAAAGACGATAAGAAAATTGCTGGAAAATTGCATTCATCAAATCTATTCGGTTTGTTTTTGCTTTCTAATGACTTTCAGAGTAAGACTGAAAACTCTAAGACAGTGCCGCCATCGCATAAGGTTTTTCGTGTTATACCATGTAAACACTTTTCTTTAGTTCACAGAATGTGTTTCTGCTGTCTCAGAAAATGAACAGTGTGACTGTTTAAGGTGTCTTCAGTTTTGCATAATTGCGAATGTAATCTTTATAGAATGCTCTCTACACCAAATGTACCAAGTTATGCCTCTTCAATCCAACAGTACGAGGCCAGCAGTGCCCAAAGAATAGTAGCTTTTGCTTCAAAAATGCTTTGTGACCTGGTAATTCGAATAGATCGTTGATTTTATATGTTGTATAATTTTTGATGTGCTTGTTACAATTCATTTCTATATCCACCAAAACAAATCAGGTTCTAGATTCAGATCTATTGGTTGGGGATAGAAGGCTTGAACATATTTTAATCATTTTCTAGTGAATTTCTGTGCTTTTCAAACCCTTCTTAAAATATCCAGTTGAGGTTGCAGACACAACTTCATCTGGAAGTCGGTTCCAAGAGTTTATGACTCGATGTGAGAACCATTACTCCACAACAACATGATTTCATCTTGGCTTGTGAACTCTCCTGCTTTGTCATTAAGGATGTTCCGATCTGGTGGGAAGGAAAAGAGAGTACAGATCAGGTCTGTGATTATTATTCAAAATTTTGAAAATTGTAATTAAATCTCCTCTCTGCCTATGGTATGACAGAAAGAACAGACATAAACTTTCTAGTCTTTCCTTGTATGATAAATTAGACATACCGAGAATCATACGTATTGCCTTCCTTTGAACCCTTTCTAGAATATGTCAGTCCCCCTTAAGACAAATACTGGCCACCTGGATATGGTTTTTCAGTCTTTGCCTCACCAGATATGTATATAAAGAGGTGAACATATCTCTGATGATTCTAGTAAAGGCTCTACGAATCACCCATAAGGATCGGAAACTACGTGGAGCCACCGCTCAGTAGTGCTCAGTAGTTGGGATGGAAATATTAATTTTCGCTTCGTGAAGTAACTTCGGCCCAGATATTTATAAAATATTTCATTTGTAACCAAATGTCCACAGCAAAATAAAGAGACCACCTATAGACAGACTTTTCTGCTTGTCATATATATATATATATATAGTGTTTGTTTAATTGGGATTATACGCTTTGAATTAATGCAAACTTCATTAAAATATTTAAGTGTCCAGTTGATTAACTGCTCTTATTGAGCTTTTGAGGCTGTGCATTAACGAGAAATCTTGTTTGCAAAGGATTTTTAGAATGAAAAATGTCATTGGTTGTAAAAGACATTCGTAAGAATTTAACAACCTGTCTGCTACTTGGTCTCAGTACTTGGTCAGAAGATTTGAGAGGTTTCATTTTACTTTCATACCTATTACTGCAGAAGATACATGGCCATTTGCTGTATTTCTTTCTATCCACCTGTTTTTTAACTAATCAAAATACTCTCCTCTTTGCTAAAGTAGCACGTTTATGTAAAATCATTGGTGTAATCGATTGTTAATGAAATTGTAGTTGTAAGCTGTTCATCACTGCTTATCCAAGTTACAGTAAAAGTTAACTGACAACAGCCAATGCACTTTTAAGGGACACCAATCAGTTTACCTTTTTCAATCAATACTTGGCAAGAATCAACTGATTTTAATTCTAGAAAGGAAGATTTCACTGTGCATTATCCGTAAAAACCTACAGGTGTGGGAATAAGCTTATATAACTAGCAAATTTGTTTACTGTTATAGCTTGAATTTGCAAGACAGAACTGAAGTAACTGAATCTCTTCGCATGATATGATTTTACGATGCGTAAGTTTTTTGCTCACTTCTGCAAACAACGAAATATACTAATTTGTTTGTTACAACAATTGAAAAAGTGGTCCGTCTGCTCTGATTTAGACGTCACGAAAAGAATTATTTTTCTAACAGACCGAAATGAAATTAAACTACATGGCTGGGCTTCCGTTAAAATTTGTCTATGTACTATTAGATTAGTAGGTACATTAATACTGAAGAGTAACAAAAAGATTAATTTTTCTAATTTCGACCTAAACCAAATGGATACAGTTAGAGATGTCCTTGTGTTAGTGACCTCAGTTGTTTAGCCTTCACACAAATCAAAATGTGGTGGTGAGCCACTGGGGCGGCATTCATGGCACATTTAAACCAACGAAGACTGTGCCCAAAATGACATTAATTCTCGGAAAACAAAATTAACCGTATACGAATACATACCACGGGAACTCAAATAACTAAAGTGTGATGCAGTCACATACAAGCAGTTATACGAATGCAGCGATGACTCAGGAAGTAAAGTTGCGACATACACTCAATTTGAAGAGACTAAATGAAGCAGATAAAGGCTAAAAAGACCAATGATTTGATTTATCAGATATACACCACATCGAATTTCACTATTCGGTTAGAGCACTTGATGTCTGACAAAGGGATTTTATACAAAATGGGTGGTGATTCTGTGTTTTGTATTCCCGTACTCATACTGTACTATGTCTACTTCCTAAGTGACTGAGAGTGGTAGGTAAAATTGTCAGTTTAATAAGTTTCACTAGCACTTAACGCAAAATGATAACGCGTTTCAAAAATTTCACTCTTTTAACTCAGATTCTAAATTAAATCATTTCGCTACATCTCGTTCTATACTCAGTAACTTCTTCACAGAAACACTTAATTAAAAATAATTCAAAGGATAACGAGAAGACTTAAGCATTTAATGGAACTACGACTACTGATGACAATATTTCACTCGGTTCTGCGTGGAACACAGGTGTTCGAAATCATGTCTCCACTTTGTTCTATTCTCTGCCGTCCTCCTCACCTGGGCCCACGATTGAACACAGTTTCACATATACTCATCACATGATCTCCTTCACCTCACCCTCAGGTACACATCCAACTAGTCTGTTCCCACTTACGTTCCACTCGAGCTAAGACTGGCACGCATAATGTCACCCAACGGTCTCCTCAACGTGTGACTAATCTATCTCCATTTTCTCCTATATATTTGTTGAGCAGTTTGTTCCTGGGTGGTTTGTTCCCAGAGCTTCTTGTTGTCAATTCTTCCTCGACATCCGATCTTCAATATGGAGCAAGCCAAGGAAACTGTTCACAAAAGTATGCAGTAGCCCGTCCGAAGTGCTTAACGTGACTCGTGCGTGATTAGTTTCTCACCAAATTTCATTTTATTGTTAATTTACTAACTGGATGCAATAATGTAGTAAAATGCTGAGAATTCCATTCTGTATCGCAAGTACTGTTTTGGAACAAAGCTATTATCTTTATCAAGATATAGAATAAGAGACTGACTGACAGACTGACCTGACATTCATGTTGAAAACTCGAACCTTTTTCTTTATGTGGATTGCAGTAGACTTCCAAACTGATTTCAGAGCGACCAAGGTCTGTATTCCATGTCCGATCCCCACTGGCTTCGACATCCTCATCCGTCCCACCCTCCATCCATAGTTGAAACGACGCTGACTACATAAGTGAAAGAAGTGATCTCCCCCGAATTTCTCCTCTTGATAATAATTGGTGGTTGTTGCTGTTGTCGGTCGGCTATCTTCACCACCTCCATCTTCTCTACGTTCACTTGACGAAGTCGTGTCTTCGCCATCAACATCGTCTCTCAATTTATTGAATTCCCTCTACAGATCTTCGATTTCGTGTGACATTAGACACAAATCATCCACAAAATCCGGATCTTCCAGAGTCTCCTTATCGGTGAGTGCAGCGTATTTCTCTCTGATCTCTCCCTCCCCCAACAGCCTGCCACATGATCCACTCCACCACAATCAGCAATATCGTCGTGATGGGAGGGAGCCTTGTCTTATTCCCCTCCTCATTCGAAAGACTTCTCTGAGTTTTTCGCTGTGAATCACCTGACATGTGCCATTCAACTTGTCATATAGCCAGCTGTTGAATGAGGTCGACGAAGATTTGGGACACTGCACGCCGCAGTGTTGAAGCAGTCTCCAAATCACTTCTCCGTCTGACCTATCCAAGGTCTTTTCAAAGTCGACGAAACGAGGTGGAGGTTTGACTGCCATTCTGTGCTCTATCCGATGATGAAGCACAGAGTTGCAATTCCATCCACACATGATCTGCCTTTCCTGAATCCAACTTGTTCCGGTGGAGCAGATTTCTGCATCCAGTGCATCGTCTATTCGTTCCAGGTTGACGCGACTTAGTATTTTAGTTGGCGTGGACAGGAGGGTTGTTTGGTGTCGGTGCTCTCAGAGGCCTCAGTCGTCTTTCATTCGTAGTTTGACAAGGTAGCCTCTCTTCCAATGAATAGGAGCCTTTCTTTTCTTCCGAAAGTATTGCAACAGCGATGTCAGCATATCCGCTGCAATCTCTTGTTACGTTTTCACTGCCTCAGACGGAGCCTCATCTGGTCTCGCCACCTTCCAGGCTGACTTTCATTAGCTTGATTGCACCTGAGATTTCTACTTTCATTGGGGGATTGGTTTTCACTGACTGGTAGTCGTGTGTGTGCTGGTGGTGTGATTCTGTGGGAGATACAGATCATTGTCGATTCAATAGTCCTTTGGAGTGACCAGGACCTTCTTCTTCACCTCCATATTTGTTACTTTCTACATTGGATTCAGCCTCATCTTCTGTTTTTCCTCTTTGCGTTGGTTTATCCTCTGTTTCAACATCTTCCTCTACTCTATTAGCTTCCATGTGTCCATTGATAGCCATTTCATATCCGTTAGGTGAGCATGGTGGAGTACTGTCTCTACAGTTAGTAATCTTGACATTCCATTTTCATTCCACCTGCTGTTGCAGATTCCTAGCACTTCCACACCGTATTTTCTCATTTCTTCTGCTACCTGAGTATTCTTCCCAGCATCGCAGATTGTATGAACATACCAAATCCCCATCACTATTTTCCTTCTCATCGGATAAAACACATTGACTGACTGGCTTTTCGAAGGTTTTCACCGGCCTGCGTCATGTCATCTCCCCAAAGGCAGCGAAAAATAAGTTCGGTTTTCATATATTTAATATGTATGTTGTTCTTTGAAACTTCTGTAGTGATTGGATTGATTTTCCCAGGTAGTGTAGCTATCTCTACGCACGAATTTCCCCGTCTTTTCCCGGGCTTGCAACCGACTAAAAATCTAGCAAACTGGTAAGGTTAATTATTCCATATAATTTGAAAAATACCTGTATTTATCGGTATACCTTCAAATTTTTATTAATCTAACTTGTGATGCTAAATTGTTACGAATTTAGCTGGGAAATATCAGCGACTTATTAAGTTGCTTGTATTTGATATTAGCGTTTAATTCAAGTGGAAAACTAAATTCCAGCGGCAGTAACAATATGCTTTTTCAGTTTTTTCTAGCAGATCGTCGTAAGCGCAAAGAAAATTTATTTATAGCCGTACCAGATACAAAGAGAACTCATAAACTTATCACGGATATTTCACTTCCAGCAGCGGACGCCACCATGTTTACAGTTAGCACAATTGATGAGGATGAAGTTGTGAATTCTGGCAATCGGAAAAATATGATGAATAGAAAATACACAATTCATACCAAAAAGTCGACCACTTCTGATTCAAGGGAGCAGAGTGATACATTAAATAATGAATTTCGAAAAACTGGAAAACACCCACTATTTACCCGTATCAGCACAGAATCTTCATGTCATCGTCCTGTGTTTGTTTCAGATTTCTTTCATGATACCACAAGTAATATTTATGCGGAGCAAATCTGCGCACATATGGGAAAAAGTCAAGATGAAAAACGGAAGAATAACTCTGTATCACCTGGTAGTTCAAAACAGTCATTTCACGTAAATCTAACTCCTTTCATGGATAAAAAACCATCTTTACCTCAAGTAAACTTGTCAAATTGTAATGTTTTTACCATTGAAAGATGCAATGAAAGCATAAAAGATGATTATCCATTAGCTTTTTCCACCGACAAGTCTTTATTATTGCTTCCTGACCTTAAAGGTCACTCTTATTGTAGTAAATCACAGCCAGGAGAATCATTTCAACCAGTTCATTTAAATCACTGTACAGGACAGTTTTACAAAAATGCAACATCAAAAACTAATAAATGCAAACGAGAGGGATTTATTTTATCAATAGACAAACGTTTGGAAAAACACAGGATTAATGAAAAGGTAAGTATTTTATAATGCACGTTTGAAAAGTTTTCAAAGTGACTTGGATTATTCCTTGATATCTTTAGGTCTTATATGAATCTTTGACGAAGGCAAGGTATTATCATTTTCACATATTTCCTCATGTATATACATAAAATAAGAAAGAACTCTAGAAGTATATATACGAAAAAGTAGAATTCTCTCTTATGGTTTGAGAGACTAACATCCCGTACATAAATATACATATATATATATATATATATATATATATATATATATATGTTCAAATTAAGTCCACTTTTAACAGTTTGAAAATTTGTCCATTCAGTATATGATATTCAAAATATGAAAGTTTTTGTATTTCCCAATGAATGAAGAAATAAAACGACACTGTTTTTACTGACGTTTCGCTATTTAATGCTAACAGCTTTATCAAAGTAATACTAAATCAGAATTAACAAAATCTCAGCTTATATGTAACAACTTAATCGTCGTTCATCAATATGAGGTAATTTTACGTCCTCAAGTGCAGATTATTGGGTTTGATAAGGGTATAAAGTCATAAAAACAGCGTGTGTTTTCACTATGAAATTGCCTATTACATGTGTGTTGATTTTATGATTTCATTGAGCGGGGTGAAATTGTTGCAACCAGGTTAAATTCTATTTTAGTTCATCATTCATATCCAGACAATTCGGATTCCATTATTATATGAAGTGCTTCTGATATCAGACGTTATTTGTGATTTCTGAAATTTTTCTGGATTATATCACAATATTATCAGAATCGATTTTGTGGCCTGATTCTTTAGCGTATAGACTTATGGCTCATGATTTTTAAAGCTTTTCTAGTTGAACTAGATTTTTTGGTTGTCAAATAGGTGCTTTATGGTGTTCATTACTTCTGATTTTGATTGCCTACTATGTTTGTCCCATGTATAAGGCATCACCTTCCAAGCACTTTATTTTGTGGACATAATTAGATTGAGAATCCTCAGGGATTTGTTCTTTTACATGAACAAGGTTGTTTTGTAGTGTTCTGAAAGAAAATCTGATGTTGTGCTCATTGAATACTCTTCTGATATCATCTGACCTTTCTGATCCATACGGAATGACAACTATTGAGGTCCATGTTTCCGGAATACGTTTTTGACCATACTTAATGTTGGAAGTGATTTTGTTATCAAAGTTCTTGGGTAGTTATTTTTCTTGAGAATTTCAGTGATGTCTGATATTTATCTTTCCTTTATTCTCCTTCTCATTCGTTATCAAAAAGTGTGCTTGTCTAAGAAGACTTGAAACAAATGATACCTTTGTGATGATGGGGTGTGATAACTCGAAGTCTAAATATTTGTTGGAGTGGTTTTTCTTACTGAATACAGATATATTAAAATATCCATTTTCCATCCTCTTAACTGGGCACTGCAGAAATGGTAGTTCCAAGAATTCTGATTCTGCTTCTGAATTAAACTGGATGCTAGAAGATAGGTTGTTCAGTTTTCGTAAGAATGAACTGTGTGCATCTCATTTTAGCACAACAAAAGTATCATCTGCATATCTTAACCATATTTTGGATTGAATATGCTTGAAAAGATGTTACCTTCGAATCTGTTGGTGAAAAGATCAGCGACTATAGGGGAAACTGATGAACCAGTAGCAGCACCATCTGTCTGTCTTTATAAATTCCCTTTCAATGTAAAGTGATTACTTTCCAGACAGAATTTAAGGCTCTTAATTATCTCACTGGTGTACAGTGGACATCTTTGTGATAGCGTTGTATGTGATTCTAGTAGATTGGAAGTGATATCAAGACTTTCAGTAGTAGGGATACTAGTGTATAATGAGTTAGTATCATAGTTTACCATAATGTCTTCTTTATCAATTTCTCGGTGTTCTATTTGGGATTTGAAATCATATGAATATTTTACAATATTTTGAGTGTCCTTTTTATTAGTTGTAGTATCGAGAGTAAGTATTTAGAAAGGTTGTATGTAGGTGAGTTGGTGAAATCTACTACTAATCTTAATGGAACTGTGGGTTTATGTATCTTTGGTTGACCGTAGAATCTTGAAGGTACATAAGAATTTGGTTTCATTTTAAACCAGAGAGAATTTCCAATTTTGGGTTTCATTTCTTGAAGTAGTCTGTTTGTATTTAGTTTCATTTTATTGAATTCGGCGGATTTCTTCTTCTCTTCAATAGGTAAGTGTGGTCCATAGGATAGGTGTTCAGTCACCTTCTTTTCATAATCACAGTGGTGATTCGCCTGTTGTCCTCAGTTATAACAATGCTTCTATCTCTTTTCTGATTTCTTAGGGCCTCATATGATGGAATTAGACGGTGTGTTTCGTTATGTCATTGAAATGTGTGAGATCTTCTGATTCACAGATAAAGCTATTAGCATTAAGTAGCGAAACGTCAGTAAAAACAATATTGTTTTGTTCTTTAATTCGTTTGGAAATACGAAAGGTTTTATTATATACATATATATATATATATATATATATATATATATATATATATATATATATATATATATATATATATATATATATATATATATATATATAGAGAGAGAGAGAGAGAGAGAGAGAGAGAGAGAGACAGACAGACAGACAGACAGACAGACAGAGAGTATAAAGTATGCGGTGGGATAATACTGGAAGCAAAACTCGGTGTGACATTAACTTCTTGGGTGCTCTTATGTGACCCTATATCTTAAATTACAGCTATCATATCCTTATGTAGTTGTGTTTAATGTTTTTTGGAGTTTGAGTGTGTCTTTTTTTAAACGCAGCTTACTCGACATGAAAATTCCTCAATCTTTAGTGCAAACATAATAATATCCACACTTGCTATACAAATACACTACCGAATTAACGTATTTTATTTGGACAATAATATGATCGAGTCCATATGATGTCAGATTTATTAATTTTTTCAAGAAATATAATTTCTAACAGAAGAAATCTAAGACAATATGTGAAGAAAATGGTAATAGCTGTTTAGACGGACAAATGAATTATGGGAAAAATGGTAGTTTAGGCGTGCACTTCCTGTGATGGACACATGCTTAGGCTTTCGTTTATATGCAATTTGTCAAATATTGTAAACATAGTTTTTTATTTATTCTACGAATATTGACAGCCCTTTCTCCTCAGGTTAATAGTTTTTTAGACATGAAGGCGTTAAGTCTATGAAGTTGTTAGTGGTTCGGAGCTCCAGCTGAAAGCCGATATTATGTTCTTCCAGCGATAGTAATTTTATGATCAACAAAAATCACTAGAAGTATAGTACGACAGATGCACTGCAAAAACAGTGTCAGATTAAGAGGGAAAGTATGAATGAATGAAACTGTGAAGTCTCGTAGATTAAGGTTGTCAGTGTATTTGTTACACACACTTAACCAACGCCTTCTAACCGAGCACTGTTAGCTGACATAGTATCAGCCTGAGAAAGAGCTAGGAGCGGTAAAATCACCTATTTTTTGACTGCTGGTTTGCGTAACGCAGGGATGAGTTAACTGTCTGGTTGAAGTACTCAGGGTGCTCTTAGTGTTATAACTCAAATTCTTTAACAGTGTCCAAGACCTGTTTCCTCTTTATGAAATCACAGATTCATTGAATTCCAATTATTGTCGATTTACCTATTCTTCCTTTCGTTATTTTTGTTTACGATAGTTTATGTGTCTTTTCTCCCAGCATTCAGCCATGTTTCGTCAAGTTTAGTAGTTTGATCTGGAGCGCATTTGTTAAAATTTTATGTGGATAATTCAGTTTAGTTCCCAATTTGCATGACAATGAGTAGTGAAAGTTTAAACGACACAAATGTGCTCTAATTAATTTAATAATATCATTGGTTTTCAATGTTTCTCTAAATGATGTCACCTTGTGATCAAGTCTAAGGATAATTAAGCCCCTACAAAGTACTACTCGAGTATCATTAAATCCGCTGAATATATGAACATTTAAAAGTATACTGGGTGGTAAAAATAATTTGCATTTTATGTCATGTGGCTCGGATCTTATTCAGTTTCTATTTCTTAATACAGATCGTATCCGACAATGTTTCACATATACTCTTCAACCATCCACTTAAGTTCTTTGTAGATTTTATTCAAGAAAAAATAGGGTTTACACCATTTATCAGTAATAAGTTGGATTATGGTACAGTCTCAATTTGACAAAATTTATTCATTTCCCATTTCACCCTATTTAACCTCCATAAAGTCCCGATTAATCGTTTCAAAGACTGGTGACTGCATGCGTGGTAACTTTTTTCACTACTACTACCCTCATCAAAGGTATACTAAGTTGACATTGTTTTCATTTTAGAAATTTTCTTTCAATTTAGATTTCATCATGGGCGGACACCAGTCAGCACACTAATGGAAATCAAGGGAGCTAGTTAGTTATTTTTCTTCAACGACTCTGAGTTCGTATACTCACTAAACTCAGACAGAAATAACGTTGATCCCCGTAATGTGGACAGACTTCCTCCCATATCTGAGTTTCGGTAACACAAGTGTTTGACTCCACTACCTAACCCCAACTTCAAGTAGTCCATTGCCCGCAGGGAACTTCTTTCATCTCAAGCAGTAAGGAGGAAGAGACTACAAAAACAGGATGAACTTTTCTAAGTTTTATGAGTTTCACGATTTTGTTTTGCCTCATACAGACCACTGTATAACTGTTTTGTCCTAGTTTTGTGGTTCTCTATCTAAAGTAGAATCATGAAGAAATCTGCGTTTAAGCTTATCAAAAGCCTACAAACCCAACACCTGACTGTTAAACCTTTTCTCAATACTAAATAATGTAAATATCTATTGAATAGTTATTTTTCATGGTGAAAGTAACAAGTAGATGTGGATACGTTTATTTTTAGGTTTGATTCGGCATAGATTTCTTGTATCTTAAGACATTCAAAGAAATATCAGATGACTATTTAGAAAGATATTTTAATCGAAAATGTTCTCAAAAGAAACATAACTAAAAGTTAGGAATACTGCTTTTCAAGGAATAACTTTATATTCTGAGTGATTTTTCAACGTTCTACGGTATTTTAAATTGTTTTATGAAATGTTCAACCCCCTCCTCAAAATCTACGATTTAGTAAACAAAACACATATCCCTCCATATCTCTAGTGAATTAATTTTTTAGCTCTATTCGTTTAGTTCGTGAATGCTTATCTTTCCAGAAATATCGACCAATAAATTCGTTGTAATTTGTACAACTGTTATTTTCAGAAAATTCAACCGTGCGAAACTCCAAACTTCTGCGTGGATCGGAAGAAGGTAAACAGTCTATTCACAGAAACAAATTTACCTTTCGTTACACTTTTACAGAAAATAAACTCTAAGGTGAAGGATCGTAAGACGGTAAATATGAACGAAACTGTAAAAGCCGTCAACTCGACTGATATTTCTAATAAACGTTTGACTTCACGGTAGGTAATCACAGATTTCTTGACCAGGTTTTTCTCTTTGCACTTCTATATTACGTGGTTTTGAGAAATAGATAAGCATATTTTCCAGTTAGTTATAAAACCTTGTAAAATATTCTTGTTCTAACATGAATACTTCATAGTGTTATGCTGGGAATCTGAACTCATCACTGATAATTCTCCTTACCATGTCAGGCTACAATTTGGATGCTTTGATAAATTCTCACAGTGTTATACAGTAATGTTTACTGATGACGTTTCGAGCACAATTTATTGCTCATAATCATATCAAGGTAATCACACGACTTCCTAAATTCATTTATATAGTTCCATTGTCTTTCTCTTGATTTTCATTTGATTTGTTCGGTAATAGTATTTTCCATATTTCAGGTATGAGTGACGAGTCATTCCTATTGCAAGTGTTGGGTGTAGACTCGATGAACAAGGATTCAGTAATCAACCTCTCTCTCCACTTACCTAGATTACTTTTTAGAATTTTAACCCTCTCCCACTCTATTGTGTGGTTGTGTGTTAGCGCATGCATTGCAATTGCTGAGCTTTTTTCTAAATTACTTATCTTCTCGGGGTCAACCATTCTTACCTTAGCTAAATTCTTATGCTCTGACAATCTGACTACCCCTGACCTACTAGTTTGACCTATGTAGTTGACCTCACAGTCATTGCATGGTATTTTGTAAATAATATTATTTTGTCTAATTGGGTCAACTGGGTCCTTTAACCTACAGAGCTTGTCCCTGAGTGAGTTTGTAGGTTTAAATGCCACCCTAATTCCTATTTTATTCAGAATCCTACGTAGTGTCTCGGATGTCCCCTCTTTATATGGTATAACTGTGGATGACTTATATTCTTTCTTATTTATGTTATTATTACTAGTTTCACAATTATTTTTATTTTGTTTTTGGCCTTTAATGATCTTCCTAATGAATTTTATAGGATAGTTATTCAATACCAACGCTTCTTCTATCTGTTTTAGTTCATCACTTAGGTCTTTTCTTGTGCTACTTAGTGCCACTGCTCGGTTTGTTAAACATTTAACTAAGCCTGCCTTAACAGTTAAAGGATGAGACGAATTAAAGTCTAAATATCTATTAGAATGCGTTGGTTTTCTATAAACAATAGTGTGTAGTTTGCCTTCTATTCTTTTTATCTTACAATCTAACATAGCTAATTCTCCTTGTTCATTTTCTGATTCAAATGTGAATTTTATTCCCTCAACTTGTGAGTTTATATGTGTCAAGAAGCTAGAGATGTGTTCTGTTTTTAGCACTGTGAAAGTGTCATCCACATATCTCCACCATTACTAAGTCCTTGTTCATCGAGTCTACACCCAACACTTGCAATAGGAATGACTCGTCACTCATACCTGAAATATGGAAAATACTATTACCAATCGAATCAAATGAAAATCAAGAGAAAGACAATGGAACTATATAAATGAATTTAGGAAGTCGTGTGATAACCTTGATATGATTATGAGCAATAAATTGTGCTCGAAACGTCATCAGTAAACATTACTGTATAACACTGTGAGACTTTATCAAAACAAAATTTACCCATAATGGAATCACACTCTACCACAGTGCACAAGTTTTATTCTTATATCAATGATACAATTTGGATGAATTTTGTCTTACACAACTTCAACAATAAAATTCATAGAGTTCTTACTATTTTTAGGTAACTGACTGATTATGCCTGGGTAGAAATAATAGCATTAATAAGCGCTTTATCGTATTTCTCCATATTACATCATGCGTGTAAACCAACCATGAATCGCTGAAAACAATGAACCACAATCTTCTCTAGATGCATACAGCTTAAATACTGAGATTAAAAAACACAACATTTACCATTAAATACATAAAATCAAAAAGGTGTAAAAATTAGATATGATGATTGAAGTCGAAATGCATCAATCATTTTCATTGTGTTCAACTCATCTCATGAATGAACATGCTTAAGCTAGAAAGGAAGATGTTAATCCTTTATAGAAATATGGAGAGACGCACACGAAATTATTAAATTCAAATCACCACATCCGAACAAATCACAGGAAGAAGTAGCTGAAAGTATGATTAAATGAAATTCAGTGAATCTATTTAAAACTTTGAGATTGGAAAGTTAATTTAATAAGACGCGACCCTTTTCAAGATCAATGCTACAAAAATCTAACTTTTCTTTCTGTATATCCCAAATACCTCAGCCAAGAAAAGTATATGACTCCTACCGATGGTTAGATAAATAATGGATTATGCAGTGCGGCCCAGAATATCCTCTGAATACAACAGAAATGTTGGTCGATAAAATTTTGATGCATATCCAGCTGATAAGTCTGGAATAGCATGAGATGTGTCCCGAGTCTCTCTATCATCCACTAAAAAATAAGTAACTGTTCCAGTTTCTTATTACATTTCTCCTCGGTGAACGTAGTGCTCCAGTATGTACACATTATATTTCAAACACCTTAAATGATATCACAAACATAAATAAGTAATTAAGATCATATTGGATTTTACGCTGCATCGGGGGATATGTGATGTGTATTTCTCATTTCTGTCACTGATTCAAAACAGAAAAAAGGATTATTAAGGCAGGAATTATATATCCTCTGCATGATTCCACATAATGTCACCGAGTGAAGAAATATATACATAACAAAGACCAGGAAAAATGAATAAAACACACTACGCTAAAGTGAATAAGTTCATCATTCTCAATGAAATGAAGACTGAGAAAGTAGTGAATGAATTATATAATTTAACACATAAATGTTGATATACAGGAGGGAGACAGCAATGAAGAGGTCTGTCTTCCATTCCCGATCCCGACTGGCTTCAACATCCTCATCCGTCCCGTCCTCCATCCGTAGTTGAAACGACGCTGCCAACATAAGTGAAAGAAGTGATCTCCTCCGAATTTCTCCTCTCGATAATGATTGGTGGTTGTTGCTGTTGTCGGTCGGCTATCTTCACCACCTCCATCTTGTCTATGTTCACTTGTAGTCCTGACTTTGCTGCGCGCCACAGTGTTGAAGCAGTCTCCAAATCACTTCTCCGTCTGACCTATCCAAGGTCTTTTCAAAGTCGACGAAACGAGGTGGAGGTTTGACTGCCATTCTGTGCTCTATCCGATGATGAAGCACAGAGTTGCAATTCCATCCACACATGATCTGCCTTTCCTGAATCCAACTTGTTCCGGTGGAGCAGATTTCTGCATCCAGTGCATCGTCTATTCGTTCCAGGTTGACGCGATTTAGTATTTTAGTTGGCGTGGACAGGAGGGTTGTTTGGTGTCGGTGCTCTCAGGGGCCTCAGTCGTCTTTCATTTGTAGTTTGACAATGAATGGGAGCCTTTCTTCCCTTCCGAATTATTTGCATCAGAGGTGTAAGCACATACGCTACAATCTCTTGGTTCGTTTCCAGTGTTTCAGTAGGAATTCATTCCTCTTGCTTCATAGAAAATGATGAAAGGAATGAGACTGTTTCGGGCAAGCTCTCAATGTGACGAGGAGAGAATGGTTTTTTCTTGAATCGTTTAACTGGAATAAAAGAAGCTGGTCTCATAAACCTGACTATTTTCTGGAAATTATTAAGCTCCAACAAATACTTAGATTTTCAATTTTCATGTCCTATCAGTGCCAAGGTATACATTTTCTCCTGTCTCTTAGCAAGAGCCCATTTACCTATAACTCACTGAAATCAAAAAGAAACAAAATTAAGGAATATAAGGTGGGAACATCATCGCTCACTGAGAAATGCAGGTACATCCAGCCGACGAGTCCCAAATAGGACGGAATGTGCATCCTGGATTCCACTGGTAGTCACCATTCACCAATTGAATATAATTAAATCTGAAGATTCAATTTCTTTTAAGAGAATCACGTTCGCAAACAGCTGAATCACATTGAGTTTGACGGACAGATTACTCCAAAATCATGCGTGTCCACAGATTTTATCCCATACATATCACACTTCTGAAATTAAATCAAAAGGGTTCTTGACAAATTCAACATCAGAGTCTTCCTTGTCATTTGAAGGATGCTACAAATCTTGCTAATTCACTTGAAAGATAAAGTTTCATGTTACTCAGTTTTTGACTATGCTTATAAAACAAAACCTGCACACATTTAGGCAATAGAAGATAGAAGAAACATCTCACGAAATCAAATTTAGAGGGAATAAAAGTGTATAAGCTAAGGAGAATCTGGTAAAACTCGAGAAATTATGAAAGCCTCCAGTTGTAACCCTAAATGACATACTGTCAGGTCAATTCTGATAACACTGAAATTGTTCAGAAACTTTCAAAATTTGTAAAAATCACTTTGTAGAGAAATTTCTTTATTTAAAATACAGTCTAAATTACCTGAATAGGAATGTGGAATAAACATGAATTCACCTGGTTTCATTTGAGTCCCATGAACTAATTTCACGAATAAACACGCGGTAAGGATTAATATCAATAGCACCCAAAAAGGTTTACAAATCACACCTGTTTACCTGTCACACCTATCAAGTCTATTTGCACCTATCGCCTGTTCAAGTATTCGACAACACAGTATTCAAAAGCGGAAATTAGGTTGAGCCACCACATACAAACTTTTATATTGATAATTTTCAGTTTACCATCACTCTTCTCAACACCGAATGACGATTGCCGCTTGATACACCCATAAACTTCGCCTGGTTTACACACCACTAGCAAACCCGGAAAGTTGGAAGTGAGTTTGGCAGCCCCACCGGGTAAAAGCAACACTACCGCCCCTAAAAATTCTAAACGAAACCAGAAGCCCTATGTTCCACTGGGAACACAAATAATGACGAAACAATTCAACAGTGAGACTTCAATCAAACCAATATGTCTTTCACTATTTGGGAAATGTAAACACCAAAATGATGATTGGCTACAGTTAAAACTAGTATAAGCAGAAAATATTATATCATCATTTTTAAAACATTAATCACTTTGTGAATTTCATTGGTCCTAGGAAAGTTATCAGAAAACCGAAGGTTTTTCAATTGGTTAGTGGTTCAACTGATCAACATTCTGTTAAGTCACTGAAAAATCCTGATCGATCTACTAAAGCAACTGAAAAATTATTCTTTCCATCGGAGAGACATTCACTTATGAATTCTTTCAAGTCTAATTCTAACGAAGCTATCGATTTTGTAAAAGTAGATGTGCAATCCAAGGCTGATACAGCAGTCAAGTCTAAAATATTTTCTGATGAAATTTACATGCAGCTGAATGGTCTCAATAGTTGCTACACGTGTGAAATTTCTGACAGTCGAGAGCGTCAAGTAAGTTGCCCACATAGGCTATATCTTTTACATCAAGTACCAATAGCTATGAGAATTAGCTTCATGTATTTAAAATATTTTATTTATAATCATCTGTCTGAGTAATAACCAAATAATCACTATGTATACAAATTGTCAACAAAATAGAGAACGCCAAGTAATTATCACTCATTGTAATTCTGTTGGTCAACAATCAATTACTACTTAAGTCGTCCTAATATTTAAAAGAACGTATGATTAATATCTTCAAAAAACACGTAGGTGTGTAAATTATGGGTTTATAATTGGTGGAATACTAGGAGGGAAGGTGTCTTTCGCTCATTAATTCAGTTTAACTTTATCATAACTTACTAACTGAGGTTTCGGCTTAAAACTTTGCAGGAAAATGCAGCAGTTGAAGAAGTCACGCTATATACAGCACACAATGCAAGAGAGCAAAAATTAATAACACCCGTAATTAACAAAAATGTACGGGAGAAAGAATCAGTACATCATGATTAGTCAAAATCTGATGAGCTTGTCAGTTCATAAAGAAGGAATCTGTCTGGATCACTGAGAATCAATTTCAGTCATAACTCTAGGGGTATCCAGCCATCGATATGAGCATCCTGAGCACCTCATCCAGATAGTTTACTCATCCGTATGTGACTCGATGATTTGACCACATCTAGCTATTTCCCAGGCCGATACTATGTCAGCTAACAGTGCTCGACTAGGTAGGCGGTGAATCTTCACAATTCCACTGACTGATTTTCCATTCATACCTAAGACTCCATGTCAATATTACACGCCATACCGTGCCAATTAACACGACAAGTAAACACACAGTCCTACTGTCAAAGGAAGCTAGCCTCTCTAAGTCTTCCGCTCCCAAAAGACATATCTCTCAATAATAAATATGGACTGGGCGAACCACTGAGCATAATACATGGTCGTTAATCGATAACCGGATATCAAGTCTTCACAACAAATGACGTAAGTTGGTAAATACCAGGCAAACCCCTTTTATTTGTGCTGAGATTTCATCAGAAATCAGTGCATCAGGGCAGAAGAAATTGCCTAGGTAACTAAAGTTGGCTAAATAGTCAATCACTGCACTACATTTCCTTAAACTAGGAGTCCGTGTGGTTCACTTCTGCTGCATGATCTTTCATTCGACAAGGCCACAATGCATCCCAAACATGATAAGTTTTTTTCACTATGTTAAGAAGACTGGATTTTATAATCTACTACACCTTGGCGGACTATATAATCTGCATACTCTAGGTTGACAAGATAAACCAATCCCTAAAGTCGACTAGCTTCACACCCATTGATGCATCTGTGATAAAGTGGCACAAGAATGGGACATCGTAGAAGGAGTTCACTAGTTATCATCACTTCAAACGACAAATTAATATATGTGTAAAACTTGGACACCGTCGAAGTAAGTAATTCCATATTAGTTTACTAGATATATCACACAGTGAAGAAGCAGTATTATTTGCTGGATGACGTTCCGAACGAAATTTATTGTTCATAATCATATCAATTATAATCACACGACTTTGAAACTTGAGTTTTATAGTTTTCTTTGTCTTCTATTTGTCATAAGGGTAGTAGAATTTTCCATATATCAGGGACAGGTGATGAATCATTCCTATTACATGTATTTGCAGTTGATTCGATAAACAAAGCTTATGTTATCAATCCCTCCCTCCACCCTGTGAAATTAGATTTTAAAACTGTCATCCTATCCCATCCTGTTGTGTGGTTGTGTGTAACTGCTATAGCTAAAATATTCTCTAGATTTCTTATCTTCTTCGGGTCAGCCAATCTAGATTTTGCTAGGTTTTTATGTTCGACTAGTCTGTCTGCCCCTGTTCTATTAGTTTGACCCACATATTTGACCTGACAATAATTGCAGTCAGTTTGTGAGTTTGAATGCCACTTTTATTCCTGTCTTGTTAAGAATTCTGCGTAAGGCTTCCAAGGTTCCTTCTTTGTATGGAAATACTTCTGATGATTTAGATTCTTTATTGTTGGTGTTGTCATTATCTTCCGCATGTTTGACATGCATGTCGTGATTAATATTATAAGTATTGTCACTATCATTACTATCATAATTTATTTTAGTTTTACATATGTAAGTTCTAGATCAATGCACTGATTAGTGCGACATGCTCTTTCAGCACTGGTTTTATGGCCGAACAGTACCTCAGCACTTCCCAGTCAACGAAGCCAAATGACGCCTTTATGTCAAGGAATATGATAATTGTTCGATACCATTAGAAAAGTTTGTGTTTCAGAATCAGTAGTAGGATGAAGATATGATCAATGAAACGCTTTTCTAGAAATGTAGCCCTCCTTGTTTCCACTGATATGTTTCTTCTGTGTAACGCCTAATCTACACTAGGAATGAAAGACGACTGAGGCCCCTGAGAGCACCGACACCAAACAACCCTCCTGTCCACGCCAACTAAAATACTAAGTCGCGTCAACCTGGAACGAATAGACGATGCACTGGATGCAGAAATCTGCTCCACCGGAACAAGTTGGATTCAGGAAAGGCAGATCATGTGTGGATGGAATTGCAACTCTGTGCTTCATCATCGGATAGAGCACAGAATGGCAGTCAAACCTCCACCTCGTTTCGTCGACTTTGAAAAGACCTTGGATAGGTCAGACGGAGAAGTGATTTGGAGACTGCTTCAACACTGCGGCGTGCAGTGTCCCAAATCTTCGTCGACCTCATTCAACAGCTGGCTATATGACAAGTTGAATGGCACATGTCAGGTGATTCACAGCGAAAAACTCAGAGAAGTCTTTCGAATGAGGAGGGGAATAAGACAAGGCTCCCTCCCATCACGACGATATTGCTGATTGTGGTGGAGTGGATCATGTGGCAGGCTGTTGGGGGAGGGAGAGATCAGAGAGAAATACGCTGCACTCACCGATAAGGAGACTCTGGAAGATCCGGATTTTGTGGATGATTTGTGTCTAATGTCACACGAAATCGAAGATCTGTAGAGGGAATTCAATAAATTGAGAGACGATGTTGATGGCGAAGACACGACTTCGTCAAGTGAACGTAGAGAAGATGGAGGTGGTGAAGATAGCCGATCGACAACAGCAACAAGCACCGATGATTATGGAGAGGAGAAATTCGGAGGAGATCACTTCTTTCACTTATGTAGTCAACATCGTTTCAACTACGGATGAGGATGTCGAAGCCAGTTGGGATCGGGAATGGAAGACAGACCTCTTCATTGCTCCGAAATCGATATGGAAGTCTACTGCAATCCTCATAAAGAAAGGAGTTCGGGTTTTCAACATGAATGTCAGGTCAGTCTGTCAGTCAGTCTCTTCTTCTATATCGGTCCGAAACTAATCACGCACGAGTCACGTTAAGCACTTCCAACGGGATACTACATACTGCGTCGGTGGTACAGTGGTTAGGACTCTCGTCGACCATGCACACCGTCCGAGGTTCGACCCCCTGCCGACGCACACCTGATATTTATGGTTGGCCTGCAATATTTGGGCTACCGATATCCATTTTGAAAATTCCGTACTTGTACCAAAAATACAGTGTGGAATCAAGCTGTAATCAAAAATAAAATAAATAAAAAATAAAATAAACAGTTGCCTTGGCTTTCTCCATGTTGAAGATCGGATGACCAGGAAGAATTGACAACAAGAAACTCTGGGAACAAACCACCCAGGAACCAACTGCCCAACAAATATATAGGAGAAAATGGAGATAGATTAGTCACACGATTAGGAGACCGTTGGGTGACATTATGCGTGCCAGTCTTAGCTCGAGTGGAAAGTATGTGGGAACGGACTAGTTGGGTGTGTGTCTGAGGGTGACATGGAGGAGATCATGTGATGAGTAGATGTGAGGCTGTGTTCAGTCGTGTGTCCAGCTGAGGAGGACGGTAGTAAATAGAACAAAATGGAGACGTGATTAAGAACTCTGTGTTCCACTCGCAGCACAAGGGAATTGTAATATTATTATAAATAGCAGAAATTTGCTGGCACTCGTTTACCTTTTTTTGATTATCATCAATATTTACTGCACTTGATCAATAGTTTTGGTATAAACCAACGCTTCCCTGATGATGAGTGTTTCTGTGAATCGCATATAGGCATTTGGTTATCTCTTCCTTATATAAAATCTTTCCTCACCTAGCTGGTGGGTGAGTAGCAGTTTTGCATCTGCCTTTTCTCTGTGTCTTCTTACTAGTGGTAATACATGCCTGGGCTATTTAGTGATCACAGGGTTTCAGAAAAGGAAGCAATTTTTACCCGATTCTCTTCTAGAACTAGCTTATATCTACGTGGTTTATTTATTTCTATCGTGACACTGAGGATTGAAAAGTCTCTCCTAATGCCGAAAATTGGTTCTGACGAGGAGCAGATGATTATCTGAACAGAACTGCAAAAAAAAAACAATGTTGGTTTTTGGTACGAGACTTAACGGATGGCATTATCATAGTTGCCTGACCGATACAGTTTCTTTACTTCAGCATTGTGATCACCTGCCAAAATAGCTTTTTCTTAGCTTTCTGATTTTAGTCACAAAATAGACAGCTCATCCTTTACTTCTTCCGAACTCTTGATAGTTAACAATACATCGGACATAACAACACTTACTTGTTCTCACGGATCCACTTAGCCCGACCACTTACGACTGTGCTCTACAATCCAACCAAGAAACATTTCTTCTGCTCTAGTCCTCACCATTATTTTTACATCTGTGAATACATGCAATCAAGCCTAAGAATTCCTTGAAATTCTTGGGGTTGATCTTGTGGATTCAACATGTGGGCGAGTTGGGGTTAAGTGAATAATGCCGCATGGGTCCTGTATGCGTGCCTCCGAAATACAAAGTACCTCTATACTTCGGGACGCCAAACATATGACTGATTTGGTACAAGGTCCTGACTTTGAATGCTCAAATACAAAGCTGGTATTGATATAAGTATAATACTTGGGCACTGTGGTAGAGTATAACTCCATTATGGATAAGATTTTATTTTGATAAAGCTGGTATGGTCGTATTTAAGAGACTGTCTGTAGCACTTCTCTAGCCGTGTCCGTTATAAATGGTCACGGAGTTAGAGGAGGTGAAGGAACTACTTTTTGAACAGTAATAAGAGTGGGAGAAAATCAAGAAAATGGACGTCAGTGATAATTAGAAAAGCCTTTTGTGCTTATGGAAGAGTGTGGGTGGTTTTTGCTTCCAGGCTGTCCATACCGTCAGAGTTGATTTTTTGTCGGGGTACCCAAAACAGAAGGGACATTAGTATTACATGACCGAAGTGCCCAGAAGACAACTCCTTGATGCCAGTTAAATGCGACCTGTTTACTGTGGTTTCAGAGCTATGTCCGTATTAAGATCTGATCATGGACTACGAACAGCTGCAAGATTTATCGGGATGAACAGTCTCTGGGGTCGGCTACCCTTATTAGTGAGGAGAAACAGCCTTACTGATGAGGTGGTTGTTCCACAGAAACGCTTTACTGCTATTATATCCATTCCGATTTGGCAGGACTTGAAAAAACATTAGCTGTAGCCTACTTAGTTCGCTGTGGTGGGCAAGACAGGCAATTACGTGAAGGTAGCAGCCACTGATCCGGAGTCTCGTGATGCTGCTGTTCAACCTACTTATCAAAAATTGTGTCAAAATTGTTAAGTCAGTGTAGCTGAAATTCCAGTATACATCCAGGATGCCTCTTTCATGAGGTATGAATTCAATATTCAAGCGTTGCCATAGTCTGGACTAGGGTAACAAAACACTTCACGATTCGAATATTGAATTCTAAAATTTTCTGTATGTGCATGTCTCTCTTTCATTTGATTACATAGTCTTTAACGTCTCCACACTTTGATGTAATCTAACCTTGGTTGTCTCTTGTTTTTGTGATTTGACTTGAAAGCGCCACAATGTAACTCAATTTATTAGTTACTCACCATCCTACTCATGTCTTGTCTTTATTGCGTAAGCCTTCTGCCATCTAAGCGTCTACTTTTTGTCCAGACTTGAACTTTCTGAGTCTAAACAATCTAAGTGTTATTTCTATTATTATTATTATTCCCTTGGGTTCCTAGTGGAACATAGGGCTTCAACTGCACGCCTCCACTTGCTTCTGTCTTCTGCTGTACTTTTCACCTGCATCCATGTTAGTCCATACTCTTTCTACTTCTCTTCACACGACCTCCTCCATGTCACCCACCCTTGCACTGACGTCCCACTCGCCGCGTGCTTCCCTTTCGGGCTCCACTCGAGCAATGGCCTGACGTGCGATGTCACCAACCGGCCTCCTCAGCGAGCGAGTGTCCAATCCATCTCCACTCCCTCCTGCATATTTGTTGTTGGGCGATTGGTTCTTATTTTGTTTGTTCCCATAGTTTCTTGTTGGTGATTCTTTCCGACCCGGCCATCTGATTTTCAGTAGAGATCCAGCGAAGACAATTGTTGATAAAGTTCTGCAACAGGCTGTTGGAAATATTCTTTGTGACCCGCCCGCCAAGTTTCTGATCCTTATAGAAGAACTGACTGACTTGACGCTGTTTGCATTGAAAATCCGACCGAATTTTGTTGTTGACGAAGATTTCCAGATTGGTTTCAGGTTGATGAGTGAATGTGTTTCTCGCCCTTCCGATTCTATTGAGTTTGAAATCTCCTGCCAACTGATACTATGCAACATTTGCAAGTATGTTAAACTGCTTTCACGTCAAACTTTCATAAACTGATTGAACTTACTTTGATGTTTTGTCCGTGATATGTATCCACATATATATATTTATGTGTGTGTGCATGTTGGTCTCTCTTTCTGTTTGCTCGCTTAGTCTGTGACCATTTCACTGGTATGAACTTGTCTCCTTTATCAATGTATATTCTCCTTATATTATATTATATATAATATGAGTGTTTGTTGACAGTCCGTTGCTTGGTGACATATATCCATATATGGTTGTTCACATGTCTGCTATATTCGATATGTATATTTGGATCGACACTCCATTATAATTAGCCATTCATGTTAAGACTGTCTAATGATTTTTCCCACGCTTGTCTGAATTATTTATATATATTCGCATTAACAATTTGTGTGAACTACTTTACAACTACTTTACTTACTTACCACTTTGGTGTGAGACCATTTATTTTCGTCTCCTTGTGTTTGGACAATAGAAGTATCATCGCAAACCTAGTGGTCTTCTGATTTCCGCCTTCTCGCGTCAGGACTATTAATTTCTCGACCAGACCATAATAATAATTTAGCGACGAGTACATAACAGTCCGCTAATTTTCCTCGAGTTTAAGCACTAAGTTCCTAAATGAAACAAATATAACACAGATATCAGAAAAGATGCAATATTTGGAGTCTTAAATAACTTCTAGTGGTGAATGTAACCATGAATTAGTGTTAGTGATTTTTTCTACTCATTTATAAGTACTTTATTATTTTATTTTTATTTTTTTTTTTTTTTATGGTTACAGCTTGATTCCACACTGTATTTTTGGTACAAGTGTGGAATTTTCAGCGTGGATATCGGTAGCCCAAAATTCGCAGGCCAACCATAGATATCAGGTGTGCGTCGGCGAGGGCTCGAACCCCGGACCATGTGCATGGTCGGCGAGAGTCCTAACCACTGTGCCACCGACGCACACGAAGAAAACAGAATGCAATAATAAGTTTTATTGAATGTGTGATAATTCCGAAAATTTTTGAGGCTTGTTTAACTTCTAAAATAATTTGTTGACTTCATTTAAACAATGAGCATAAAATAATGAGCAATTCAAAAACTTCAGCCAGTTAATATTAATTAAATTTATTGTCTACATTACACTAAACTACTGTTCTCTAAAATGTATTCAGTCCAGAATATCAAGAAAATATACCACAATTTATTGTATTCAACTGAAATCACATAAATGCCCACAAGAAGCCTACGAACATATTTCGCATAATCCTAGTTTCCAGACTGTAAATGAAAGTTTATACTATGCACCACCCTTAAATATCATTCTTCGAGGTTCAAAAGAGACTTCACCAAAACTTCAAATCAGTAATGCAAAACCGGGGTGCCTTAAAAATATAGCTGGACGTCTACTTTTGGTGGGTGAAGATCGACTGCAATCGACCGGCCATGAATGTATTAATAGTTGGTCAACTTTTGGTGAAAAACAAATGTTTTCCAGTGGAAATAACTGCGAAGTAAGATATTTTGCAGTGGCGTGTACTAACCTTGGTGAACTGTTGGTGTTGGAGATTCTCCCAAATACATCCGTTTTATACAAAAGTAAGGTTGAGTGTTAAATAGTTTCTAGTACCTATTTCTCATGCAATAGTAGGAAGCTTATCGTGTTTTTGTCATTTCCATTTTAAAAGAATAAGTATCAGCCAAAGATTCATGACGATGCACCAAGAGATTATTTTCATTATCATAATGATTAGCTTCTGTAAATGTAACATAGAATCTTTCGTAGACATATAAGAGATTCGTTCTCTCAAAAGGAAGATGTATTCCTTTGTTGCTTTGTTTAGTAATATTGAGTTGAGTTGTCACAGCGTGAATTAAAGACCTTTATTCACGCTCCGATTATAAACATAAACAAATGATAAACTAAGATAACTTTCTGATCAACCTTTTTATTAAGTAACATTGGGAAGAGCTCTGTCAAAAAATGTCACCAGTACTTGTTGATAGCTCCTAATCCCTATTTGCCCTCCTGAAACTTTTGTGTTTGACCTTTAACATAGGATATTCATCTTCCTCCGTTTCCCCAACAGTCTTCGGAGGAGGGCTGTGAAAACCACAAATGCAGCATTTCAAATTCATTTATCTTAATATATGGACATGTTACGTGCTTCAGCAGCACATCATTATGGCAATCTCTTTTCTGGAGAATGTTTCAAATAACCTCACTATTTCCTATAAGCTATTCATTCTTTTTAAATCATTTCCGTATCACATGCAGAAGGCCAAAGTGTTACTTCCCATTCAGATTCCACTAAAGAGTCTGGGGTGTTGTGTCACTCAACGGCGTCTCAGGAGTATGTTTAATACATCTCCACTTCGTTCCGCATACTTCTTCTGAAAGAAGTCATAATATCAGATCTTTTCCTCACAGTCTGACGACGTAGGCCTTCTTCCAATCGGTAAGCACCAACTTTTCCTACCACATCTTCTAAAGTAAAGCTGTGAGCATGTCTGCATGTTTGGATCTGTTTTCACTGCTTTTTGATAAGTCCCATATGATCCTGTTGCTTTTCCGGTGGGCTACCTGTAACTTCATGGCCTAAAAGACTCCTATATTTCGTCGATTGGCTGGTGTTCACTGGTAGTTCTGTATCCCCTGATGGATTCCGGAAGGACAAGTCCAAGGACCAAACCTCAGCACTGCGAATCGTCATTGAATACACCCTAGAATGACATTTAACTATGTCAATCGACTTCACCGACTTTGGAAAAGCCTTCAACACTATTGACCAAGAAATAATTAGCTGACTGCTCCAACACAACAGATTGCAGCGCCTCAAGGTATTTTGTCATGACGTCACCGAGTGAGAATACGAATGCTGACTGACGACGGTGAACGCTTGATAATTTCCCAGTCGATTGTCCCCTGACCCAAAGCTAGTGAATTCCAGAAGAGTCACACAGTAGGCTTTGAAGCATGCATTTCCAAAACAAGGCGAGAGAGAAGTTACCAAAAGTGCAAGAATGTATGACAAATACTGATCTAGTAAATAGGCTTGAATAGTAGGCTCCAACAGCATGCTGGATCCTGATTAGTTGACGCTCAACATATGGCAAAATGTGATTTGTTGTTATCTGGCTGACAGACTAATGTAATAGATTGTGGACGGATATCACGTTTACAAAGCTCATTCAAGAGATACGTGATGTATACAGAACCACATGCCTAGTAATTCACAACCGAACACTGACAGAATTTGGGCGGTTCCCTATAACCACTGATCATCTTCGTGATCCTTGTGAGATGGATCATGCATCAGTCCATGAGAAGTGGGAAGATGCTAATTCGTTGAACCGGAAAAATATCCCAGCATATCTGGACTTTGCCGGAGATTTTTTCTGGTCCGGCGCAAGTTGTCAGAAGAGATAGTGAACACTGGATTTAAAATGAATACTTAGAAGACAGAGGTAATGATGATACCCAACGAAAAACGAACGCCATTCTAAAGGACGCCATCCCTCCAACTCACCTACTTTGGCACCAATATTTAAACGACAAGGTAGCAGGTAGCATGGATAAGAATGTCGAATCCAGGAAGTTGGTAATCGGTAAATCTAGACAAAATTCTATTAGGAAAACCAACAGATTGAGAGAAGAAATACATTCCTTTTCAATTAGTTCCTCATCATCGACTCTACACTAATATATAGTCTTTTTTTGCATGAAAATGTTTTGCCGATCAAGTGGTTATTTTAGTTAATCAGTTTTACGTATAGGCGGGGGTGAAATTAAGAGGTTAAAGGTCATCAAAACAAATAACTAGTTCATGTTAGTAACAAGATATCTAAGTTTTAAAAGATTGGTGGAAATTAATTAAGAAACTTAAGATAAGCTGATTCTTAGGCGTTAGCAACAAATTCACTATAGGTAAGATTTTATTTTGATAAATCACACAGTGTTATGCAGTAATATTAACTGATGACGTTTCGAGCACAAACTATTTCTCATAATCATATCAAGTCAAGTTTTGTGAGTGACTTTATATGATTATGAGCAGTAATAAGTTTGTGCTCGAAACGTCGTCATCATTTAATATTACTGTTTTATCCAAGTTATACTCTACCACAGTTGGCAACAAGTTATTACATAATCAAGCAATTTTTAAAATAGCAGTGATGACTAAGAAGCTATACGCAGCACGATACTAGCTCATCTCGTCGATACCAACCATCAAAATGACTCTAACAAAGCTTTTAAGGTTATTTATCGTATATCACCCAACCTACGAGTACGACTTTTACATACAGCAGAGGCAATCGCAATTCACATGAACAAGCCAAATCTATGTGTTCAAAAGGAATCTGTACAGCCCCTTTCTTTGCTATGGCCAACTACATAATATGTATTAAGTTTTTAAAAACGATTTTTCCCTTCCTCTTGTAACTATCTTTTGGCTTTTTTAATTTTCACAATTCTAGTTAATTCCATTAACTTGTTTGCATTCTACGTAACTCTTCTCAGTTATCCTATTCTTCTTAGTCATCAAGGTTATTTTACAAATTTCATGATTATGTAACAACTTGTTGCCAACGTCTAAGAGTCAACTTATTTTAAATTTCCTAATTGATTTCCACCCACTTTTAAAACTTAGATATCTTGTTACTAACATGAACTAGTTATTTGTTTTGATGACCTTTAACCTCTTAATTTCACCCCCGCCTATACGTAAAACTGATTAACTAAAATAACCACTTGATCGGCAAAACATTTTCATGCAAAAAAAGACTATATATTAGTGTAGAGTCGATGATGAGGAACTAATTGAAAAGGAATGTATTTCTCCTCTCAATCTGTTGGTTTTTTTTTCTAAATGTTTAAATGTGAATCTGGAAACTTCTATTACTCTGAATTCACTGTATACAGCCACAGCACTTAACACAAGTAACAATAATTGACAATAATGTAAAACAGCATTTCTACATGTTCCGAAGGATTGATGTGAACATCACCAAAAGCATTCGCTAAAAGCTTCAGGCTTCATAAACATCTGTCTTCTCTGACTCGATACTGAAAGTCATATGATGGACAGGATAGGATAAGCAAGAATTAACTTTGACGAGTAGTGCGCTAATGGAGGTATTACTATCTTGTAATTATGCAGGAGGAAATGGAAATAGGTTGGGCAAATGCTGAACCATTGAGTAACTCTATACACCAGGAGAGGCTCCCAGTGAAGTGACAGGTCGGTAGTCCGAAAGGGACGTGCAAGGAATAGTGTGAAGAAGAAATCCAAGCTTGTGAAAAGTCAAGGAGACATAAAAAAAAGGCATAGGATTGAACACAGAGGAGATGTGCCAATAAAGCCCTATGTTCGATTCGAAATGCAAGGAACGAATGTTATCATAATATTGATAATTCCATTCTCTCTGCCTTCACAGATTGCTACTACGTCTGCGCTACATCATATTTCTTTCTTAGTTTGAGTAACCTCACTAACTTCAACCATCGTGAGGATACTCTATGTTCCTACCCTTACTTTGCTCTTATTGTGATAAAGTCTCACCGAAGATTGTAGAAGTTATTCATAGGTTTTAAATTAAAAGTAAAACGACTACGAGGAGCTAACTTCTTTAACGCACTTAATAGTTTTACCAGCCTATCGGATTGAAAGAGACTTATCACCACTTTGCTTCATAAGAGGTGACAAGTACCATCCAACTTTGCTAGTACCGTTTTGACTGCTTTGTGTTTATCCTTGAGTTGATTTTACTGAACTCTAGATGAGGTTGTGCTCCTACTATTCTCTAGGAACATATGACTTTCATATCTTCTTTGAACCTGCATAGTGGTCTAAAAAACATATGTTTCTGTTCGTTTGCAAAAGAATGTTTCGGCTATCATATTTACACACAAAAGGATTTATTTGCAAAATTAATTGGTGTAAACAGTTCGACTTAAAGGTTTTTTTTACTCAAATAAATGTTAAACAAAGTTCCAGGGGGCTGCTAACAATGAAAATTCATTGAAGTGTATATCAGTAAAGTCAGCAGATCTTCAGTGTCAAGGAAGCAAATATGACTTCCAACAAATGAAAATATTAAAGAACAGCATTTTCATCAGCAGTGAAAGTGATAGAGTCCATGTATCTCTCGTAAAGTCTGGACTGACTGACGACCGATTGGTGGCTATTCGACTGCCCTGTTCCACTAATCAACCAGCAACTATTGGTCACGATGGAGACCCTCCACCTTTCTGCCTAAGAAGTCAGTGAAATTCTGAGAAATTGAAACGATTAGATGACAAAGATAGGACTTTACGCGTTAAGAGTAATATGGGAGTAATCGGTACACCCCAGAATCCAGTACACTGAAAGCTGATTCGTAATTGAAGCACATGAACAAGCAAGAAATTATTGTTCGGCAAGTAGAGCTCAGTAGGAAATTACTTGGTATTGTTTACGCAGCAATCAACTTTTTTTAGAAACTTTGAAACTACCAGACTAGAAAATATGGTATACTATGGATCTACCGAAAACCCTATATATGACCTCGATTCCATGTATGATTTAATTCTCATCTCTAGCCAAATCGCAGACATACAATAGAAAACTAGGAAGTTGACAGAAGAGGCAGGACTTTAGGTGAAGATGTAGCAGATAGAGATGATGGAGATACTCAGCCGACAACAACAAGCATTAGTCACCATCAATGGGAGCAATCTAAACGAATTCCTCTCTTTCACGTAGGTGGAAGACTTGGTTTCAACTACAGCCGTGACGAATGAAGACGTCAAAGTCACGATGAGAGAAGCAAAAGAGGTGTTCATCACTCTGAAGTCGTTGTAGAAGTTTACAGCATTTATTACGAGGAAAAACAGTATTATCAAGTCAGTACTTCTATATGCTTCAGGGGATTCGGGTGTCACCAAAGCATTTCCAGTAGGCCCCAGGCTTTCGTCAACAGCTGTTTTAGTTCGATATTCATGACCAGGTGACCTAAAAGGATAAGCAATAGGGATTTCGGACAGTGAGCGCGTCAAGGACCTATTTATTGTTGCCTGGCTCACACCTACATATTCGATCAACTGGCCGCTAGTATACTAGAGGTGCTTAGTAATGACGTTAGCTTTGAATAACAGCAAGATCTTCTCAAGGTCAAAGAGTATTCTTCCATTGAATCTTAGAAGGACATTATCACTAAGTCATCTTTAGGCACATGAAATGAAGTTCTTTCTGTTAGTAATTGTAACAGATGACTGGAGGCTTACCGTAAAAAATACTATAAGATGGTTTCAGGATTTCATCATGAGCTGACATTAGTTAGAGAACCATTGAAAAACCTGGGAGTACTGGACAGCTGTTTCGTCCTAGTTTGGGACTCTTCAGCAGTACGTACCCACCAGGATTCGAGCCCAGGACCTTCCGGTTACAAGGTGAGCTCGTATACCATTAAGCCACTGGGACCCGATCCAATGGTCCTTGAATTCTAACTTCTGCCAATTCACGATATAGCGCAACCGCTAGCCAATGTCTTCGGCGAGTATTTGTCCTGACACCCGACCTGCTGCACCCTACTGGTCACGACTTCCCACTGGTCGGGTGTGAGGACAAATACTCGCCGAAGACATTGGCTAGCGGTTGCGCTATATCGTGAATTGGCAGAAGTTAGAATTCAAGGACCATTGGATCGGGTCCCAGTGGCTTAATGGTATACGAGCTCGCCTTGTAACCAGAAGGACCTGGGTCCGAACCCCGGTGGGTGAGTACTGATGAAGAGTCCCAAACTAGGACGAAACAGCTGTCCAGTACTCCCAGGTTTTCCAATGGTTCTCTAACTAATGTCAGCTCATGATGAAATCCTGAAACCAATCAAATCCCTACAAACCAACACTTGAAAACTATAAGATGGCTTGGTTTAAGAACATAAGTTCTGTGTTGTGAATTCTACTTTTGAATATCGGATGAAAACTGTTCTGGGATGATAAATCTGATAACTTATTTACTGTTTTACATTCGACATGTAACACTATTTTAGCGTTAAAGTAACGAAAGAATGAACTTAAATTCATACTGATAATACTCAAGGCATAATTACGTTCCTCCGTAAATTTATATATATATATATATATATATATATATATATTGGAGCTCGTTTTCAACTTTTGACTGAGTAACTTCAGTCATAAACATACATCTATTTATCTAGCTTATATTTTAATACTAGGTTATTTTAGATGGTACATAAGAGATATAACAGTTGAGGATGTCGAAAATAATGTACATTATCACTTCCATTTTAATAATTGGTTGGTTCCAAATGAAAGAATGATTTCCCAAAGATGTAATCATCCGTGCAAGTTATCCTGTTTAGTTGATTTACTAAATGAGGGCAGTTCATCTACTGTAAAGTCACAGGGTCAATTTTTGCGTCAAAATGGAAGTACGAGACAAAGTGAAAAGAATTGTAATGGAGATAAACTAATAGATAAAAAAGCTTCTGGACCTGTCGCATGTACTCCAGATATGTTATGCATTCCTTCAAACAGACAATTCAACTATTCGTTTTTTAATCCGAAAACTGTTTGCCAAACAATTCATACAATTGTAATGTTTGTCATATATAATGGTCACCATGATGACATGTGGATTCATAAAACAGATCCTCTTGATTTAAAACACAATATTGAAATCGGTATCATAAATGCAAAAGTGAGCAACATTTTTCAAATTTCCCACTGGCCTGTTCAAGTCAAAATAGTTAAACAATATATGAGTGCAAGCGAACTAATTTATAATTGGTAGGTTGTCAATGTTTTTAAGCAGCTAATGTAAGTTTTCTATTTTTCTTATAAACTATTTTAATTTGAAAGCCAAAATTACAAATACGTGGAAGTCAATGGTAGAGAATTTTCATTTTCAGCCCAAAAGTTGCTTCTGCTCATTAAAAGAGTATATCTTCAATCACTACCTCTGCAAGATTTCAGCTCCAGACACCCCATCGTATTGCAATGTTAGGATACTAAGGCATTTAACTATGATTGTTTGCATTTACCCCGGTTCAAAAGTCACGAAATAATTTAGTTACAAGCACTGACTTAGTTTGGATGATAGAGACAACAAGTATTTTTTAAAATTTTAATGGCAGTATATAAATATACGCAACGAGATTTTAGTCTAAAAAGGTTGGATAAATGTATAGATAGCGGTAGTTTCTTATAAAAGTAAACTCTAGGCTGTTTGATCTGTGATTCGGTACTATTTGTGTAAAGTGATTTATCCAAAAGTGAAAAATTTCATACTAAGAACTAGTGAAAATGCCGTGACTTCCTTATAGTGTGCTTCTCATAAAAATTGGCTAAAATACAGTAATTGAATAAAGGTCCACTTTTGTGAAAATTAAGCTTTTTCATTAGTGGTTAATGTTTCTAAATTTGGTGCTTAACCAAGATTTCATCTGGTTGACTCGAAATCCACAGTTTTATCACACAAGGAGTTTTTATTCAATGATTCTTCTGTTATGTATATATATTGTGCGGCATTGTAGTAACTTCAGCCGATGCACCTCTACATAGTTTTATGTTGGTATGTTTTCATGGACATTTTAACACACACAAGTTTACTCTACCTCTCACTGTCTGATGCCACCTGAATACCTAGAACGGTTTAGATGTAGTCTGTGTGTTATTGCTCAGTTTAAAACCAAAACTATTAGAGATGGAATATAAGGTAAGGCCGTTTTTCTGACGAAAACCTCATTAAAAATCATCCCGAAAAGAATACTGAAAATCAGGATAATGATATATAAGTTGACCAGGCCGTAAAAGCGTTTCAACTGAAATAGCTTGAATATTTTCTGCCAATTTTTTGACAGTCTGCGCTTGCTTAAGTAGAATGGAATAAACCAAAATGTGGTTGCCTCAGATGACAAAACTAGCTCTTCAGAATGTGTCATCAAACCCGTTTTGAACCATTCACTGAAATTGAAGGAATAACAGATGATCTATTAATCGTTATTCATTATTTGTAGCTAGGGTCAAATGACTTTGAGTCCTGATGAATATGACTTCCAATAAAAATTCTGTCAAACTTAGTTAACTTCCAACAGACAAGGAGAAAACTCATTTCCTCATGAAATGTATATCAGAGTTAATCGTTTAAATTTTCATAGAGAAGTTTATCTTTCGAATCATTAACAAAGGTCCTAAAATGATTAATTGGTGGATGGTGACTAGCAGTGTGCGCCGGTGGCATAGCGGTTAGGACGCTCGCCGACCATGCACATGGTCCGGGGTTCGATCACCGGCCACTGACGCACTCCTTTACCTCGCTAAGCCAGAAATAATCCTGGTAAAGAGTAAAGGTTGGGCATGAGGCTAGCAACCCCTTCCTGTAAAATAAACACTGCTACAGAAACTTCAAGCCACTTGTTTGAAACCCCATGTTCCACTGGGGAACGTGAAGGAAAAAGAAAAAAGACTAGCAGTGGAATCCAGGATGCGCATTTCGTCCTATTTGGGACTCGTCAGCTGGATGTACCTGCATTCCTCAGTGAGTGACGATGTTCCCACCGAGGCTCGAACCCAGTGCCCATAGTTTCAAACTCCGAAGCGTTATCCACTAGACCACTTTGGCCATGAGAGCCACCTATTGTGCAACGGGTCATATTGATTTAATTGAATTTTAGATTTTCCCGTCGATTGATTCAATTAAATCAATATGACCCGTTGCACAATAGGTGGCTCTCATGGCCAAAGTGGTCTAGTGGATAACGCTTCGGAGTTTGAAACTATGGGCACTGGGTTCGAGCCTCGGTGGGAACATCGTCACTCACTGAGGAATGCAGGTACATCCAGCTGACGAGTCCCAAATAGGACGAAATGCGCATCCTGGATTTCACTGCTAGTCACCATCCACCAATTAAATGCTAATTAAATGCCAAGACATCGTCGAAGCATCTCCTCAAGAAGCCGATATGTCAACCTGATACCAAGCACTTCGGTCCAATCAATCGACGTGCAAATCTAAAATTCAATTAATTTCCTAAAATGATCTTACAAAACTTGTTTGTAAGATTTGTTTTAAGATTTACTGGACAAAAACACTGATCGTTAATTTGTTTTATTTCCATTTTTTCTTCCAAATCATGTAAAGTGCAATAATATTCGACTTTTAAACTTGTATTAACAACCCCATTTGAAATTCTTATTGGTTTTTTTATAGTTTAAAGCATCTTATTGCAACAGTTTCAGAAGAAGTTGAGCCTAGAAGCTGTAAAATAACGTTATCACATTTGGATTTGGACAAGTCAAGTAGGAACGAATGCACGTGTTATGTTTTGTTACATGTCATATCCGAATTAAACTTTCAAGACGTCATAGCCAATACATCTGGTGAATTTCTTAATTCATACGAGGTCGAAACGATAAAGACTGAGATACCAGAGATGATACAAAACCCTGTACTGAAGCTTCCACCAATACTTAAATCCTGCTTAGCAAATAATTTTCAGCTAGAAGAAATTGAAGGCAATCCTACACATTTTTATAATGCATCAGATTTACCCGGAATTTGTGCAAACAAGATAGAAGATGTAGATGTTGGATATGATGAATCTTTCTATAGTGAACTCGATGATGAACTAACCTCAGAAAATGAAAAGAATACAACTGAGTCAACTGACGCAATAGGGAATATCATCAGCGTCAAAGTCAGCTCCTTAGAATCAAAAGATGAACTACCTACTTATATATGTTCGCCTGAAATTATACAGCCTGTGAAGATGCAAATCCCACCTAAAACGAATTCGGATTATTTACAAAAATCAAGATTATTTTTCGATCCTAACTATCCCAAGATTCCTAAGAAAAACCATTCAGCCTCTGAGAGTCTGAAAACGTCTAAAGTAAGGACATTTTCTAAAATGTCGCTTAAAAATTGGTAGCTAATGAAAAGAAAATAAGGGCTTCTTAGTTGCATGCATTAAATCTGTGCGAGATTTCACTGCTAGTCAAAATGAAGAATTTATTTGTATGTGGAACTAGCAGTGACTTCACACCATTAAATCATACAATACCGAGAGGAGAGAATTCAGAAATCTGTATCATTATTTGTATTGCGTATTCACAATAAACAGCTAAACAGTGAATTAAACAGTGGAAATTGTCAATCGCCAAATCTGCCGTCTTTCTAAGTGTTTAGAAAGAACTTAGGGTTTCCTTGCAAATCTCTCAGATCTCCTGTACAATTGTTCTCACCAGAATAATTCGTATTTATTTCTAAATTATCAATAAGATTAATAACGGAATGGAATTACCTGCTTCGATCATTTCCAACTTGAATTTATGTCTGTTGTGTAAAGGATGATCATCTGTATGCAATATCTTCATCATTCCATTTCCTATTTTTGTAATTTGATTTCTGCAGACGGTTGCTAGTCATTACAGCTATATTAATCTACATCAGACTTCGTTATTTTCGAGTTTTTCATAAGGTAGGAACAGATGATTAGGCTGAATCTATCCTGTAAATATGCATTCAAGAAATTAGAGAAGTCAGATATAACTTTGCGAAAGTGTTTTCTTGTAACAGTCATTTTCTATCTATGTCTGTTTCTATGCCTATATTCCATTCGAAATGTATAGAATAAGAAATTGATTTTTGGTGTGATCCTTGTAGAGAAATGTGGGTTGCTTAACTATGGTCCTCGGGATGCTAAAAAGTAATGCCCTAGAGGTGTATAGTGACTTGACCTTGTAGAAATAAAAAGCAGGTTCACAGCAATAGCAGTCATCTGGAGTTTGATAGCAACATGTACCATGAATGTTAATGCAACACTAGATGTAGTAATGGACGCAAAATTATATCAATATCTTCTTGAAAAATATGTTAATTTCGAGTAAAGTGGAAAACTAATTAATATGACAAATTACACATTATTTTCCACAAATATATATATATATATATATATATATATGTATTTTTGTTTTCTTACCATTAGAATGTGAAATCTTTTGAGGTAAACACTTGTAACACAACTCGGTTTATTCTGAAAGACAGTGGTGGTATTGATTCAACTATTTCAAGTAACATATTCAATTGTAACTCATCAGTCCAACCACTAACTTTTTCGCCAAATCCCTTTGAAATCTTTCAAGATCCCAAACAATTGAGTGAATACAATATCCTTAACAGTCTACTTTCTGAAAAAGATACCGACAACTTTTCATGATATTATATAATATACTTGAAAATTAATATTGTTCCAAGGCTGTGTTGTCAAAATGTGGATCAACTTTTCTCTTAAGAGGTAAATATTTATTTCGATACTTTTCGTTGTTGCATTATCAAAGATCGGAAGCATTGTTATACAGTCGATAGAAACCGTCGTATTGGTGATTAGATGTATTTGCTTGCAAACTGGTTAAATATAAAAAACATTAACCAAATAACTTATGTGCCATAGAAATAAAGTACTGATATCAATAAATAGCTAGTAATTTTATCTGTTCATCTGTATTGTCACTTCCAGGAGTAGCATAAAATATCATCAAAATGAGAAAGTATTCAATACGGAGATACCAACAAACTAACTACCTCCTCCTACATATGTGTTGAGGAATTGATTCTTGGGTGGTTTGTTCCTGGAGTTCCAAGAGTTTCTTGTTGTCAATTCTTCCTCGTCATCCGATCTTCAATATGGAGAAAGCCAAGGAAACTGTTCATAAAAGTCTCCAGTATCCCGTTGGAAGTGCTTAACCTGATTAGTGCGTGATTAGTTTCGGACCGATATAGAAGAAGAGACTGACTGACAGACTGACCTGACATTCATGTTGAAAACCCGAACTCCTCTCTTTATGAGGATTGCAGTAGACTTCCATATCGATTTCGGAGCAATGAAGAGGTCTGTCTTCCATTCCCGATCCCAACTGGCTTCGACATCCTCATCCGTAGTTGAAACGATGTTGACTACATAAGTGAAAGAAGTGATCTCCCCCGAATTTCTCCTCTCCATAATCATCGGTGCTTGTTGCTGTTGTCGGTCGGCTATCTTCACCACCTCCATCTTCTCTACGTTCACTTGACGAAGTCGTGTCTTCGCCATCAACATCGTCTCTCAATTTATTGAATTCCCTCTACAGATCTTCGATTTCGTGTGACATTAGACACAAATCATCCACAAAATCCGGATCTTCCAGAGTCTCCTTATCGGTGAGTGCAGCGTATTTCTCTCTCATCTCTCCCTCCCCCAACAGCCTGCCACATGATCCACTCCACCACAATCAGCAATATCGTCGTGATGGGAGGGAGCCTTGTCTTATTCCCGTCCTCATTCGAAAGACTTCTCTGAGTTTTTCGCTGTGAATCACCTGACATGTGCCATTCAACTTGTCATATAGCCAGCTGTTGAATGAGGTCGACGAAGATTTGGGACACTGCACGCCGCAGTGTTGAAGCAGTCTCCAAATCACTTCTCCGTCTGACCTATCCAAGGTCTTTTCAAAGTCGACGAAACGAGGTGGAGGTTTGACTGCCATTCTGTGCTCTATCCGATGATGAAGCACAGAGTTGCAATTCCATCCACACATGATCTGCCTTTCCTGAATCCAACTTGTTCCGGTGGAGCAGATTTCTGCATCCAGTGCATCGTCTATTCGTTTCAGGATGACAAGGTAGCCTCTCTTCCAATGAATAGGAGCCTTTCTTCTCTTCCAAAAGTATTGCAACAGCGATGTCAGCATATCCACTGCAATCTCTTGTTGCGTTTTCAGTGCTTGAGACGGAGCGTCATCCGGTCTTGCCACTTTCCAGACTGGCTTTCACTAGCTTGATTCTATCCGAGATTTCCGCTTTCATTGAAAGATTGGTTTTATTTTATTATTTTCTTATTTTTGGTTACAGCTTGATTTCACACTGCATTATTGGTACAAGTATGGAATTTTCAGCGTGGATATCGGTAGCCGAAATTTCGCAGGCCGACCATAGATATCAGGTGTGCGTCGGCGAGGGCTCGAACCCCGGACCATGTGTATGGTCGGCGAGAATCCTAACCACTGTGCCACCGACGCACTGGCTGATAGTTGTGTGCGTTTCTGTGCGAGTTGCAGATCATGACCGACTCAATAGTCCTTTGTTTCTCCTCTTTGGTAATTAGGTTGTCTTGAGCATCTCTCATAGGTTTCATCTGTGTTGATCTCTTTCTCGATAGAGACTTGGTTATCTGATATGATGTTCCTAGGTCTCCGGTACCTGCAGTCTGTCTGTTCTGTTTCAGTTTTCAGTGTTTAGTAGAACTATCTTATGTCTTTCCTAGCACTTTTGTTCACTCCTCTTCTTGTTCAGTGCAGTGTACATTGAACTCTCCTCATTCTGCTGTCCATCCTTGCATTGAGTCATCTCTTTCACCATCATCCACTCTTCCATGAGCTTCGAGTTATCCATCGGGAGCCATTCCTTGTCGTATCTCTTCCTGTAATAGTTGAACACGTTTCCTTGAACATCAACCTTAAGAAGTCCCAATTTTCTTCAACGCAGGTTTCCTCAGTGATACCATGTATTGATTTCGGCTGAGGTCCTATATCTACAGGGAAGAAATCCTTTGCAGTTTTGTCCTTCCAAGTTTTGAGTGTTGAACTTGAATTATGGTTCATTTCCAGTCGGTTTTGGAGCTTTCAGTGTGACGCTTATGGTACCTTGCACTACAGAATTGTCGAGGCCCGTAGGTGCTCCCCTTCTTTACTCTGTGTCCAGCAGACTGCTACTGCACTTTCTTGAGTGGCAGAAAAATCTCGTTCCGTATTTGGTGTGTCCGTCAGGTGAAATCTATGTCACTCTTTATATATCTTTGTTCTGTTAAAGGCTTACATTCCACTAGAACCCTAAGTGAACAATAATTAATAATAATAATTAAAGAATCATTGCTATTGACAACAACTGTATTTTAAATTAGACTGAATCCCCACTATCGATGGACTACATTTCGAAAGATATAATGTTCAACTGAAAATCAGAAAAATCAAGTGAAGTAACACTGAATTTATGAATTTCTAAGTTGCGTAGCGGGTCATGGTAGCAATAGTGGCTTGAACTGATTTTTTTGCACGTACAGCTCCTGTTGGTTTCAGTGAATTGCAATACCGTCTTCTGTTTGGAGTTTTCGGTATCTAGAGTCTTATAGTAATTTATTCAGTATCCCGTAGATTATAGAGAAAGACGTTTTAATGTTAGCTTTGTGGTCTGTCTGGACGAGATGATCCATTATAAAACTTGTTATGGCTTTAAAAACATCTTTGTTTAAACACGGTATTTGGTGTTCGCGAGCATAAGAAATTGGATCCCTACAGCAACGGCCTACATAACTGGCTCCGCAAGAGCAGCTGAATTGACAGATACAGCTAGAGGTGGCTAGACTAGAGACGTCATCTTTCAATTTCAGAATCACAACCGGTTACGCGGAAAATATAATCTGCAACTTACTCTCATTAAACATTCTATGAATCGATTTTCTTAGCCAGTTGGTTATTACCATTTGGCTTCACTTTTTAGATGATCTTGGAAGACGACTCTGGTGGAGCTACGTGACCTGAGTTCACCAAATGGTCGAGAATCGAGCTAGTAATTGTCTTACATTGTCCCTTTGCTAACCATGCCAGATAATGTTCAGAGATGTGTTTGGAAAGCGTGCTCTTTGTGCGGGTCCTTTTGAGAAGAAAGAGAAATCTAATCCATTCCTTATCCTCAAGAATAAGGAAGATATGTTCAAGTGATACAACCGATGGGGAACTGGGGCTACTCAGACAAGTTCTCATAAAGAGAATGGATATCCTCCAAGATTTATCGAGAAAAACATGAAGTTAAGGGAAAAGCCTGAAAGAATCCAGACGGTGCCGAAGAAACTGCTATTTATGAGTGTTGAATTTAAAGGTGATATCGCAGCTGAGATCCTGAAGAATCGCTTATGCAGATCACTGAGGAAAGCGTTCTTTATGGCTGAGCTACGTATCAATTTCTACAGCCGGCAAATGATCAACGGATATATGAAGGATAAACTGCCGCTTTGGGCCACCTCAATGTGTGTTTATAATTAATATCAATAAAAAGTTTGAGCATTGTGGATTAGATTAAATAAAGTATAATTATATTTCAATAATTTACACACAATGATAAGTTTTGTTACAAAATACATGAATGAGCCAAAAAAAAATGAACTATATATATGAGTACAAATCATAAATGTGTGAATAAAACAATTCCAACAGTGGTGTGAACACGGGCAGTAATTTTGCTCCAAATATTACCAATAACAAAACTTATCATTGTGTGTGTTTATAAATTCACCTGCTCGTGTGGAGCTAGTTATATTGGCCGCATAAAGCGCACGCTTTCCAAACACATCTCTGAACATTATCCGGCATGGTTAGCAAAGGGACAATGTAAGACAATTACTAGCTCGATTCTCGACCATTTGGTGAACTCAGGTCACGTAGCTCCACCAGAGTCGTCTTTCAAGATCATCTGCATAGTTGGTTATTACTTCACTTGGTGTATCACCTTTGAATTTTAATTGCATTTATGGAAGCATCTCATCAACAGTTACAGAATTCTTTTCTACTTTCTTGGCCGTGTTTGGTGACAAACTTTTCAAGGTAATTGTTTTCAATTAACTTGTTGTGTACATCCCTAAGTTCGTCTTCAGTAAACAAATATCTCTGACCCTATATCTGAGGGGACCAAAGCTTTTAAAATCTGTATATTGACTGGTCGAAGTACGTTTCTCAAGCGAATTCATTTATTTCATCACACGGTACGCTATCGCCTAATATTCCGTTGTTAATGCACGACTCCTAATTAAATAAGCCCGAGTCTGCCCTGCGATTTCAATCTTTTAATATAGTTACTATTTCGGAATACCAAATTTTAGTCCGGATCTGGTTTCTAACAGTTCTCTGGTCGTACAGAATTCGAGGATACATACTTACATTAGCATAAAATTGTACTACCGGTACTCACCGACATCTGTAGTCTCCAAAACTGGTATTCCCTTAACCAGTTTCCCCCTATATTCGCAAGTACATTTCATTGTGTATATGTTCATCTCATGTATCTTTATTACTTATCAAAACAGTATTTATCAGGCGTAACCAGGCACCCTAAGCGATAAGCTTTAGGCCACGCCAGTTTGGTTAGATAGGGCGCAATCACGGGATAAACAACAATTCGTGATAATAATGCGTGCTCTTCCGTATGATTTAAACAAGCGCTAAGGACAGTAATCCAAAAGAAAAATGACCTCTTATCTCTCTAACGCCTCAGTAAACGTTTCCTCGTTGTTCAGCTATGCGGGAGTTCGGAGGTGTACCTGCTTACACATTTGCACATCGTTTACATATACCGAAAAGAATTAGAGATAGGTC